TATGAAGAAAAGATTGTAACTCCTTCAGATTTCAGCTCTTTCTCTAGTCTCCTTACATGGTCATGGTTTGCCAGGAGGATCTTTTTGACACAGATTTGCACATGATATATCCCTTCCATTTCCTGACGATAGATGTAACTGAATTCCAGTTACAGCTCTGTGCTTTGGAGATTGTTTTTTATACATCTCCTGACTTACACTTTTCAATAACTGTTCTCTGATTTGATTGGAGTATTCTTTTGTCTACATGCTGTAATGGACCTTTCCAGACACAGCTGTCTTTTTATTTTGCAATTTAAAAAAAAAAAAATAAATCCAGATTTTTTTGTGTTGATTTTTTTGTTCTGGCATGTGTGTATTTTTTTACTGCGGTTAAAAAAAAAAAGATGAGCAAAATCTAAAATGAATAAAAAATCTAGATTACATCATCAGAACTGTAATTACCAGTGAGATATAATATTTTAGCAAAAATAAATCAAACCCTGAAACAATAATTACTCTTGTGCTCTAAAAAAAAATCTTTTAGTTTTGATTTTTACTTAACATTTCTGTGCAAATACAGAGAACCTGTGATGTTTTTACTCATCGTCTTACCGCTTTGAGAGTCTCATGCCAGTCCATCCTCAGATATTTGACTCAGAACTCTGCTTCTTCTCTCTTGATAACTAGATTTCCTCTTGAACTCTTTGCTCTCTGTTAGTGCCAGTGACCGAGGCTGTGGTCGCGAGGCATTCCAGGGGCAAGCCCGCAGCGCTTGTGTGATGACTGCACTAAAGTGTTGAACTCAGCAAGCCACTCTGTTCCCCTGTGGTGCTGGCCTGGTGAGTACCAAGACATCCTGCTGGGCCTGCGGTGGTGTTGGTAACCTCGCATATAAAGAGTGTTTTTTTTAAAAAAAAAAAAAAAGAAGGGGAGAAGGGGAAAGTTCTGTGCTGTGATACCAAGTGGTTTCATGTATAAATCTTTCACATGATCAGAGTGCAGCTTCTTACACATTTGAGGCGTCCCTGGCTTAGCTTGTGGCAAACAGCGTTTGCAATGGCTTTCTCTGAAGAAAGGGTTTCATGACCCCCAGGTTTAGCGTGAAGCTAATCGTTGTCCTGCCAAGAGTCTACAGCTGCTACAGACTTAGCATTGGACAGCTACAAGGCTGTCCTCATCTAGCCTATCGTTTCATTCAGACTTAAAGACAAACTTTAAGCACAAATGGATTGTTTTGGATGTTTTGAATGCAGCTGATTGCATTGCGTTTTATTTAGGAATATCATAAAACAGGGTACTGGATACAAATCCACACCACATTAAAAAATATATGTATTTCTACTTTGTTTTCAACATTTTTTATTTTTTGCTTTCATTATCCACTACTTTGCATCAGTCTATTAAAGGAAATGCATCGTATCTTGAGGTTGCAACCTTGCTGTTGCCTCTGTGCGTATCACATCTCTGGAAGGTGTTGCATAAAGCTATCTCTGTCCCCATAATTTTCAGTCCAATTTCACTTACTAACCATGGAAGACCTTTGTTGCTCTCCTGACACCTTCTTTGTTCTCCCTTTGCTCTTTACCTAACATGCAGCCAAAGTCCTCTTCATGAGGAGAATCATAAATTAAACATCACCTATGTCTCCCTTGCGTGTCTGTCGGTGTAAAAAATAGCTCGTCTCGGTGCACGGTGTGTTGCCCGTGCACAGCTCTCTGTCTCGTGCTCGGCTGTAACTGTGTGCACTGACTTTCTCAAACTCCCAGAGTGGCTGTGAGCTCATTTGGTTACACAACTGCTCACAATTACCCAGAGATTTGGCCATGGGGACACGGGATATTTCTATATCCCTGTCGGATGTTGTTTTAATTACACCAAACTGCTCGACTCTGTGCTGCAGATTGACATGGTTTCTTTCTTCTTCTTCAGAGGCTTTTCTGAAAGTTTACCTGTAACCAAGTTTATTTCTGGCAAAGCAGAACAGAGTGGCTTGTGAAACCATATTAAATCACATCTTGTATCAAGACTTTTAATTTAACTTAATTACATTATCACAAGTCATCTTTAAAGCACAGGTAATGACAACATTTGGATAGGATGAAAGATAATGAAAAATAATCTCCCCTCCTCCTTTTTCTGCCTCGAGCCATTTAAGTTTGTGTGTCTGTGTGTGTGTGTGTGTGTGTCTTTAATTCTCTGCGAGGCAGAGCTCTTATCTCCAATCAGCATCATTGTGAAGCCCTAATTATATTTGATTGAGTAAAAGAAATTACACATGAGAAAAGGGATGATAATTATAGTGCAGAAATCTGCGCGCACCATAAAATGCAAACATAAATGCATTAACGCAGTTGATTAATTCAGGTGTGAAAGAGGCGGCAGGTGTGAGGATGCAGATGGTCTGGAGGCGTAGATGCTCCCTGAAAGAAAATTGTTGAGAATCCAACTCGTCAAGGATCGTACTTTGATTTGGGGGTTAATTTTGTGCTCATAATCAGGCATTTGCAATAATGGTGGATACAGAGCATCTTCAGTGTCTCAATTTTCACCCGGGAAGCTTTAATGTCCTGCTGCTGTCCTATTTGCAAAGAAATGTTCTTTCTGTAGAAATGTTTGAGTGACTCCCAATATTAGTGACATGACTTATTTGACAAAGAGAAAGGAAACTTCCCATGGGAAAGACCCTGTACGAACAGGCAGATAATACGGTGCTGGTTATGGTTTTGGATCAAGATGACAGCAAACAATATGTGCATGCAGGTTTTTTTGGTAACCAGATGATTCACATAAAGCTTTCAATGCTCCTGTAAACAATTACTGATTATGAGTTATTATACCTGAGGAAGCAATTCATTCTGGGTTGCACTTTAAACAACCGCGGTAGCACATTCTACATCTTAACTGAACATAAATAATGCATTTTTAATGAAAAAAGCGTGTAGCCACTGGTAAACACGGGTAGAGAGCTTTACAACAAATTTCTATTTATTACAGAAGCGTAATCTTAGTCTGAAAACTATGCAAAAATCCAACCCTTACTTTTTTGTAAGTGTTCGAAACCTTTAGAAATCCCTATGCATGAGGTGCGTTACACCCTGGACAGCTCTCCAGTCTATCACAGGGAAACACAGAAACACACATGGCAAAATAAATGCACACACACACTCACACCTAAGGGCAAGATGATGTTCCCCTCTCCAAATTTAAGTGTTGATATGTGGTAGTGCCTTTTTGATCTCCAGATCAAAATGGTGCACTGTGGTATCCGAAGATGCAGGTCCTGGCAGCCGAGTGCATTTCTTCTTGTTTTCCTCGTGTCCATCTGCTGATTCCACGTCTTTTTGAAGCTCTCCACAAGAGGTCCTTGGCGTCTAGACAGCTTTTCTAATAGTCCTTTTTAATTCCCTGTCTGAAATCTTGCACGGACGAAATGTCCACGGCCAGTTTATGGCGTAATGATTCTTTCCACTTGTGGACTATGAGCCCAGTGGCGCACCAGAAGTTTAGAAATTCTGCTGGGACTGCCGCCATCAGGTTGCAAAGCTCTTGAGAGAGAGCTCACTGGGTTTTTCTTTGTTTTTTTCCAGTGTTAAATGCTTCTTGCATGACACCTTTCTTCTAATTATTGATAGATTTCAGCTGTGTCGTGACTTTCCATGCTGTTTTGCACATCGGTTCATGTGTTCCAAATATCCTGTCATTCTGTTTTACTAAACATTTTATTGACAGTTATGGCTTAATTTCCTCGTGTGTGTGGACTGGATAAGTTGCTACTCACGTCTGATGAGAATTTCACGTCAGCTGTGCTTGTAGAAATGTAAACTCATTGAAACTGGTGTGTCGCTGTGTCTGTAATGAACCTCTATCCGTTAGAACCCTTTGTTGTTTTGAGGTTTATTAGTTTTTTGTTCCTCGGTTTCTTTCTTTGACCAGCGTTGTGTCTGTTTTGTTTTAGTTCAGTCGCTCTTTGTGATTCTAGTTTATTTCTTGTCTGTATTTTTTGTTATTCTACTTGAATTATGTGTTTTAGATCTATTCTTTAGTATTAGAATTATTTTCTAGTCACCTGTGTTCTCTCTCTCATCCCTTGTGCCATTTTTTTTCTCTCTCTTCCCCTCACACCTGCAACCCGGTAGCTCATCAGCCCAGGTGTTTTGTTAAAGCATTCACCCTCCCAGTGTTTAAACTCTTCTCTTGCTCACACTCCCTTCTGGTTCCTCCTGTAAAACCTTGTTACGTCCCTGGATTTTCCTGAATTTGTTTTGTTCTGGATTCTTGTTTTTGTTTGGCTCTCTGGCTCCCTGTGCTGCCAAGCTTTTTCCTCACTTTTTTATTGTCTTAATTTCTCCATTGAGTCTTTCAATGTGATCCATGCTCCCAGCTCTTGTCTGCATTTTGATCCATTCTCAGACTCACACTATGGTCACTTTTAGAATGGCATTACTGAAATAAATGAACTTTTCAAAGATGTTCCAAACACCTGAAGTTAATGTTGGGTTGTTAAGTAATTGTAAAAGAAGCTTTGTTGAATGGAAAGTGTAAAAATAAATAAATAAAATAAATTCCCTGAACGTGTATCACGAGGGGGCCCAACAGAAGTTCTGCTCTGGGCCTCATACAGCCATGGCTCGCCTCTGCTTTAAATTATCCGGCATAAATGCGCCCTGACTGTTTAGTTGGCCCAGATGATGATGATCTCCACGCTTTACTGGGTAACTACAGAATGCAATCTCCAAGCTATTACTTTTTTTCATCTGAGGCGTTTATAAACCCATCAACCCTGTTGCCCCCCTTTCATTCCCCCACCTCCTTACAACAATTGCTTTTTACCACACTGCCGTGACGGCAACTTGTGTTTTTGCGCAGGTGCACGAGCCGGACCCGCACCTCTGCGCACGTGGTAACCCCCTGCTCACCTTGAGTCCAGCCAGCACCTGCGTGTAAGTTCCTGCAGAACAAAAAAAAAGAGAGGGAGAGAGAGAGAGAGACAGAAAGAGAGAGAGAGGCAGGAGCCGGAGCGTCGGAGGAGTCAGGAGCACTGATCGGGCGCTCCTTCCTCTCTCCTCCCCCTTTAGACCCCGTCGAGCACTCCATCTCTCGCTCCTTTCCTCCCTCTCTCTCTCTCTCTCTTTCTTAAATTGGCACCGTCTCTGGGCTCGAACCATGATAACAGAACAGGCTTATTGCGCTCCGCGTTGTAGGGCTCTCCTCCTCAACCCCGATCACTTTAAACTGAAATAAGAAGACGTTTAGAGGAGAGAGGGGGGGGGAGAAGAGAGAGAGAGAGAGAGAAAAAAGAGAGGATCGCACCGTATCCTGTCAGCGGGTGTTCAGGAGGAGTAGCAAGACACTATATTTCTGCCACACACACCCTTCTATGTTCTGTGTGCTCCTGCGCATCGCAGATCCCAGAAAGTGTTCCTGTCGTGTTGAACTAAAGGAAAAGTTAACATGTATCTGCACGCTTTGGTACGCGCAAGCCTTGGATTTGTGGGTTTCCTTTTGGTCGCCTTTGTCCAACAGTCAGCTTCAGGAAGTAAAACCCCTCAAGGTAAGTTGTCGCCTCCAAGTGCCTTTCATTTTACTAATTGCAGCCGATCATGTGCCTAAATTAGTTAATCAGACTGAAAGCAAACACGTGTCCAAACAATTTAGAATCAATATCAGGGGCGCCCACAGAAAGTTTTCAAAACGGGTGGCCAGATTTTTTTTTTTTTTTTTTTTGAGGGGCTGGGGGGGCTAATAATCTTGGGGGTGGCACTTAACCAAAAGCCAAAACTGAGTTTTGTTGTCATGGGATAGAAAGAGGGTTAAGGAGCAAGGCTGGATTTATTATTACTGAAGAAGCACCAATCAGTCGGCCAATTGTTCCTTTATCTGTTTTGTAAAATGCATAAAAACTAAGTAAATGAACCATTTTTAGATCTAGAAACACATAATCCAGGACTGTGAACACCTACTTTTTTGAGTTTAATAAAAATCAGGCAAAAGTTCAGGTAGCTTTAATGTAAAAATGTGGGAAATCTTTTTGTTGTTGTTGTTGACAAAATAAAACAAAATACAAATCAATTTACAAACAAAAGTATCAGCAGGACAGAGCTAAAAGAAAACTGGAAATTGGTACTGACCAGGAAAAGGGTGATCAGTGCATCTTTAATTATTACTTAATAGTCGTGCACTACAGTGGACACAAAAAAACCCCGTACTTTCCTATCTTAAATTATTAATAAAATATAGAATTTAAAACTCTACAAATGATATTTGGTTGGGCAGAAAAATTTATTAGCCAGACATTCATAAAATGTAACAAATGCATTATTATTGTCAAACAATGTTAAAAATGTCATGTAAAATTTATCACTGAGAAAATGCATTCTTAAGTGAGGAAACACCAGAGACCGGTATAAACTGTGCAAAAAAATATTATAAATAATAATAATTTTGGAAGTCTAAACCACAGCTAAAACGTGAAGCTCCATGTTAATCATAAGGGTGGACAGAGTTGGCACCACAGATCTGAATCAGGCAGACCGTGATTACTTTGAAACGCAGATCTATAGTTTTTGGATTCCAGTTTTTTTTTTTTTTAAGCAGATGCTTCCTGTTTATTCTGCGTCTCATTTTGCAATCATTTAATTGCTTTTTATTGTCATTCGTGCTGTGTCAATCTGCACAGTTGCTTATATTTATGAAGACTTGCCAAGACAAAAAGAAAAAAACAGGAAAAAAAAAACCCACAGTGAGACTGAAATTAAGTTTTTTTTTTTTTTTTTCTGTGAGTTTGCTGTTGTTGGAATGAAGCTGCTTGCTTTGATCTTGAGACGGCATCGGTTGTGTGAACGGTTGCGTTCACATAACCTGCAGGTAATCATAGCAAGAATACGGGGAGGTATTTGTCACAGTCTAGACAAGTATTTGACACCAGCTTGCAAGACGGACACACACACACACACCAACGGTGGAGTCTCTGTCTGTCAGACACTGCAGCTACAGTGCTGTCCTCCTCTCTCATCTTGTGAGAATTCATTCAGACCAGACTGACCCGACCACCTTACAGGAGCAAGAAAAGACACGGTGCAAAACCTTCGGCTCTCTGATCCTCTCTTCTTTCTCATTCCACCCCCTCTCACAGGTTTTCATCACTTAATTTTCCCACAATACAAACGCCGAGCAAAGCTAGCCGAGTATTTGCATGCAAAGACACATCATGGTTTGTGTGTGAGTGGCTGATTGTGGTCAGTGATGTTTTGCACTCACAAAAAGACATCTCTCGGGCGGTCGACAAGGCAAAAAGAGAGAGAGGGAGAGACAGAGAGAGAAAGGGGGTGGGTGACTATTTTGCATCCTGGGTGGTCTGCCCCCACTTGTGGGAAAACTCAATATTTACATTTTGCAATTAGAACTACTTTTTTCTCACTTTATTCTCCACAACATCGATTACACACTTCCTTGTAATGTGGAATGCTCCTTGGGAGCAAGCAGGGCTGTAATGGCATGCACCTGTTTGTTGGTCACCAAGTGAAACGCTCCGGACGACCCACTTGATCAACTTCTCCTCCGGTTCCTGTTTATCGGTGCAAAGCATACTCCTTTGCTGCGGCTCTGAAGCTATTTGTGAGCATGTTGTGGGCCTAACTGCAAATAAATAATGTGATTTAATGTTGAGGACAACTCCGAGATGCACAAAAGTCTTCAAAAATGGAAGTGGTTTAAAGAAGGAAACCAGAAAGAGAGATGAATAATAGCTGGATTTAAAAAAAAAAAAAAAAAAACTCAATTTGTTGGTTGAGTATTTATTCAGCGCAGATGTTGTCTTTCATCAAAGTCATTCTAATCGTGGCACTGTTTCTGGCATCAGCCATTACTCAAAGAAGAAAAAAAGGGAGTGGGAGTGCAGAGAGTGAGAGAGAGAGAGAGAGAGAAAGAGACAGGGAAGATTTGAGGATGTGGTGGAGAGAATGACAAAGAAGGGGAAAAATGAGAGCAGGGGAGATTAAATGCACGGAGAGAGGAGCTACAAGTGAGCAAAGAAAAAAAAAAGGGAGCTGTACACATCATGGCAAATCACTTTCCCCTCGAAAGGAGTCAGGATCTCTTGCGGTGGCACCAAGGCAACGGTTGGTGTGGGGCTGACATGCTGCTGTGGCTGGCTGTGTTGGTGTAACCTCTGCTCCGGGGCCCTCAGGGTCTAAAGACGCAGAGCTGCCGGAGTGGGGTGGAAGGCCACATGCAGGCCCTGACACACTGTGGGAACCGAGCGGCCTTAGAGATATGAGGCCCAAGTGACGGGGAGGCTTACCTTGAGATGCTAACTGAGTCTGCTCTGGCTGGGTGCGATGGAAGGGAAGAAGAAATCCCCCAACGCTCACTCACCCCTCTCCTCTTGCTTTGTTTGCTTTGTCCCCGCTTCCTCTCCTTTGCACTTAATGAAGGAGCCATGCTTTTTCTTAGTCAAATGCATCCAGTGACTGCATTACACCCACTGAGTCAGGGAGCTCCCTGTCAGCCATCGCCATCATTTCAGATAATGATTACCAGAGCTCCATTTCATTGACTTTTATCCGTTCTTCTTTATCTTCTGACATGACCAGATGTTCAGCAGGTCTGTGTAAAACCGCGGCGTCTTTGCACAGTGACTCTTCCGACATTTGGGCAAAGTCACGAATCAGTTTCTGGAACTGCTGTGAACCAGAAATGCCTGTTGCTAACACTGTTATCTTGCTGAAAGAAGGCAACTGTACTTTTCACTCATATACAACAAAGACAAGTACAATGATTTGGAAATACATTATAGAGTTTTTCCCCGGAAAACGTGCTAAGCCCAGCGGTTGGGGCACTCTGCAGTCGTTCATCCAGTCGTGTTTTTGAGTTTAAGAAATGTTTAAAGTTGACAGGAAATTTGAAAATATCACTTGATAATTATGTGTTATTGGAAGATGCATATCTGAACACAAACTATAAAGTCTTAAAAAATTCAAACATTAAAAAAAAAACCTTAATGCTAAGCCTGGTGGGGGCACATTAAAGCCTGGTGGCCCGCCAGGCTTATAGCACAGTATGCATTATATTTAAATACACTGCATAGAAAGACGTACAATTTTGGAGGCAGATTTGTTTTTTTTACATTAAATCAGACAAAAGGTTTTCTGTCTAATTCAGATTACCAAAGCATTTATATTTGCTAGATGCTAGGTTAATAAGATAAATAACTTCTAGGGATTTTGTTTTATTGCTTTCAAGCAGTTTGCAGTATTACTATTCCTTTCAAACAACACTTGAAGCACACACACACATGGCCACACAGCCAACCTGGTCTAAGAGAAAAATATGGGAGTGCTGTTTCAGCCAACTCATCGACAGTGTGCAGCAACAAGCTATTCTAATAAAAAGAGATTTTTACAACCTTTGAAGGTCAATAATTATTAACGGCAATGAGACTTTAAAAAACAAAACAAAGAAACACTTTTTACCTGTTGGCCAGATTTTATCTCAGAAAAATGCAAGGATTAATGTTTTTGTGCTTCTCAGATATTTTCAACAGATTGAGATGTAACCATTAGTAATAGCTTTTATGAATTTTAACTTTTTAAATTCTCACGCATTTTGCACGTAAAGAGAATAAGACCTCCATTGAAACAGCTTGTTATGAAGCTCTCTCTTTTTATCATCTCATCATCATTAAGGACTGACTCACAGGAACAGTATGATCAAACTTTTGAAACCCCAACTGTGGCAAACCTTGAGATCTTCAACTGGCCTATGCGCGTATATTGGAAAGTTTTCTCATAATCTTCTTCTAATTTGGCTGCTGAGTGTCAGAATAAGGATGGGAGACTCCTTCCAGTCATAAAGCTTTTGACAGTTTTATGGCTTGTAATGTTGAAGGGATTGTAAGAACCTTCCGTTCTTGAGCATAAACTTTGTTGCGATCTCCTTGTGTGGGTTTTCAGTAGGCTTTTCACTTTCCATCTAGGGTTAGTTAACCTGCTTTAGCTTAATTGGTAACTCTATGCAAGTCTGAATAGACTTTATTTTTATGAGTACAAAGCGTCTCGCTGTATGACAGTGGGGACGAGCATCTTCTCCCTGTGACGCCATACTTGTGTCACTTTGTTTAATTTTTAAATCAGTTTTTCTAGAAAGCAATATATTTTTTTTAGAAAAATGCATACTTTTACAAAAAATATTAAAATCTCGACTTTTTCACATTTTGTCGTACTGAAACACTAGACGTCAAGAGAGTAAAAAACAACAACAAAAGAATGGCATACATACATAAGAATACATACAGTCAGCACTACAATGGTGTCATTTTATAGAAAGTAATGTTCATGTGTTAAGATGGCCTAGTCAAAACCAAGACCTTAATCCAATTAAGAATGGCTAAAATTAATGTTAACAGGTGGTCCCTGTAGAATCTAACTGAGCTTGAACTATTCTAGTAAAACTGCCAATCTGTGGATGTATAAAGCAGATGGAGAGCTAGCCCAACACACTTACAACAAAACAGTCTACAAAGTATTGAACAAATGCATACTACACTTTTGAAAT